TGTGAGGACAAGGTTACTTACGCTGACGACAACGTTCCTGACGCTGAGGACAAGGTTCCTGACGCTGAAGAAAAGGTTCCTGACAGTGAGGCCAAGGTTCCTGACGGTGAGGACAAGGTTCTTGATGCTGAGGACAAGGTTCCTGACGCTGAGGACAAGGTTCCTGACAGTGAGGACAAGGTTCCTGACAGAAGGTTCCTGACGTAGAAAGGTTCCTGACGAGACAAGGTTCCTGACAGTGAGGACAAGGTTCCTGACTGTAAGAAAAAGGTTCCTGACGGTGAGGACAAGGTTCCTGACGGAGAAGACAAGCTTCCTGACTGTGAGGACAAGGTTCCTGACGCTGACGGTGACGACAAGGTTCTTGACGCTGAGGACAAGGTTCCTGACGCTGAGGACAAGGTTCCTGACAGTGAGGACAAGGTTCCTGACTGTGAGGACAAGGTTCCTGACGCTGTGAGAACAAGGTTCCTGATAGTGAGTACAAGGTTCCTGACGGCGAGGACAAGGTTTCTGACGGTGAGGACAAGGTTCCTGACGCTAAGGACAAGGTACATGACGCTGAGGACAAGGTTTCTGACGCTGAGGGCAAGGTTCCTGACCGTGAGGACAAGGTTCCTGACTGTGAGGACAAGGTTCCTGATTGTGAGGACAAGGTTACTTACGCTGACGACAACGGTTCCTGACGCTGAGGACAAGGTTCCTGACGCTGAGGACAAGGTTCCTGATTGTGAGGACAAGGTTACTTACGCTGACGACAACGTTCCTGACGCTGAGGACAAGGTTCCTGACGCTGAAGAAAAGGTTCTTGACAGTGAGGCCAAGGTTCCTGACGCTGAGGGCAAGGTTCCTGACAGTGAGGACAAGGTTCCTGACTGTGAGGACAAGGTTCCTGATTGTAAGGACAAGGTTACTTACGCTGACGACAACGTTCCTGACGCTGAGTACAAGGTTCCTGACGCTGAAGAAAAGGTTCCTGACAGTGAGGCCAAGGTCCTGACGGTGAGGACAAGGTTCTTGATGCTGAGGACAAGGTTCCTGACTGTGAGGACTAGGTTCCTGACGGTGAGGTGAAGGTTGCTGACGGTGAGGACAAGGTTCCTGACGCTGAGGAGGTTTCTAACGCTCTGGACAATGTTCCAGGCGCTGAAGACAAGGCTCCTGACCGTGAGGACAAGGTTCCTGACGCTAAGAACAAGGTTCCTGACGCTGAGGACAAGGTCCTGACGCTGAAGAAAAGGTTCCTGACAGTGAGGCCAAGGTCCTGACGGTGAGGACAAGGTTCTTGATGCTGAGGACAAGGTTCCTGACTGTGAGGACTAGGTTCCTGACGGTGAGGTGAAGGTTGCTGACGGTGAGGACAAGGTTCCTGACGCTGAGGAGGTTTCTAACGCTCTGGACAATGTTCCAGGCGCTGAAGACAAGGCTCCTGACCGTGAGGACAAGGTTCCTGACGCTAAGAACAAGGTTCCTGACGCTGAGGACAAGGTTCCTGGCGCTGAGGACAAGGTTCCTGACTGTGAGGACAAGATTCCAGACGGTGAGGACAAGGTTCCTGACGCTGAGGACAAGGTTCCTGACGCTGAGGACACAACCTCGTACCCAGTGCTTCTGCGCTTATTGCTCTCAGAAGCCCTGGGATAATCCAACTCAGACCGTGATTTGATTGTTCAATGCGAATACAATGAAAGTACTGGAAGTTATTCATTAACCGGGTGATATTTTGGCAACATGGCTGCTATCTCAAGGAATTTATACAAAAGTTAAATGCTGGTTTTTGCATGAAAATACTTTTTTAAATCAAATTCTGGGCTATTTTGAAAAGAGCAAAAGAAGAAATGGACATTTTTATTTGTAAATAAGCAAGAATGGCGAACAGAGTAAAAAAATTAACATAATAAAGCGAAACATTGCTCGTTCGAAAACTGAAATTTCAAGTATAAATCTACAACTTCAACCACGATATTCAATGTAAATATTACATAATAAAGTTTTTAATACCTTTTTTACCTTTATTTGATAAATTGTGTGTTCTATATTATTGCATTTTGTATTGGAATATGATAAATTATGAATTATACACAAATATTTAAATTTACAAATTATTCCCAACTTGAGGATGCTTGGTGCACTGGCTCAGAGTTTGTATTAGTGCCTATTTATTATTGAGTTATTAGTGCCTCTACATCTCTAGATCTAATGTACAAACCTTGTAATCTGTTACTTAATACCATAAAGAAACTGTTGATAGCACATATATTAAATGACTATTAATCAAAATGAACTAAATTTTCGACCATTATATAGCATATTTCCCCCAATATTAAGGGAATAATTTCTCCTATTTATTTTTATAATAAGCCAATATTGCCCAACTGTGAAGTAAATATTGCCCGACTGGCCTAGTCTGCCCAACATTTGAGCCCAGCCCTGTACGCCTATGACCAGGCCTACAGGTGGACCCCCAACCTGATTGGCCACAATTTTTTTTTCTCCAAAATTTCCCCTCCCAATGTACAAGGATTGACAATTGGACAGTTTGATTAGATTTGGAAAAAAAAACACAGTTATATTGGGTCATTCCAGAAAACACTCATACCACTCCCACAGAGGAAATTGAAAGTTAATCCCTCCTACCCCTTTGGATGTCCTAATATATTTACTATTATCAGAAAAATTTCCCCCCCCCCTCCCCTTCTGAACGGCAGAAATTTCCTCTGTGGGGGGAGTGTGGATATTTTCTGGAACAACCTATTTGAGAAATGCTTTTGCACAAATTTTCTCACAATTTTCTTGTATGTCAGAACACTGTTCTAAGTTGCAACTAAAATTCAGAGGTCTAAAAGGCTCAAGTCAATTCCAGTGGTGTAACCAGAGGGGTTGGGGGGGGGGTCAAAATATTTTAAATGTTCTGAACTTGTTTGTAATTAATTAGAGTTGAACATGTGTTAACTGCAAGGTTATTTCAAATCACCAAAACACATTAAAATAGCCCCCCAAAATGGCACTTTATTAACTAGAATTTAAAAAGTCTACATTGTACTATATTATACATGGATAGCTTGGGAGTCCAAATATATTTTTACATACTAACAAACTTTATTCAAACTAGTGCAGGCCCCTCCTGGGGATTTCAGTCCCCTTGAAGGCCTTAATTAGAAATTCTGGCTACATCACTGCTCAATTCCATTGCCAATGATGGTGTTAGCATGATTAGACAGAGTAGGTTAACAAACTAGTGTGTATTATGAGATAATCCATTGAACACCAATGATCTATCCCAACATCTATCCAGCAAAGTTTTTTTGCGGGGTGCTAACCAATGGCGAAACGAGAGCCAAAGGCGCGAGATTTCTAGGGTGGTCTGGGGGCATACTACGACGGAAAATTTTTAAAATTTGGGTCTCTGAAATGCATTTCCAGCATTCTGAGAAAACATTCCGGAAAATTTTTAGATTCTCAAAACATTTAAAAATTCAGAAATTTAATATTGGCTATTCCACTATTGTCAACTAGTGATATGCAACTGAATTCCTTAACATAGGTTGGTTAGAATTAGGATAAGCATCATTTTTGCACCGCCCCCCCCCCCCATGCACCCCTGTTGACCAGAGCCTGGGGGAGGGGGATGCACACCAGAGTAAAATAAAAAGTAAGACACAATGTAAAACTTAATAGGTAAGGTTAATGGCCAGAACTAAATGATAAACAATATTTTATAATAAACCCAAATTAGTTCAGCACCATTGGTTCTTATAACACTGTTCATTCCAATACTAGAACATCAGCAATTAACAAAAGTTGGAGTTTTATCCGATAACATGTATGCTTCTAACCATGCTGTCCATGCAGTTATCTGACAGTTTTTAATTTTCAACATTGATTCCCAAAGCCATTATTCTCAAGATTTGCTAAAAAGGTTTTCCAAATATTGAAGTACAGAATTATATTACATCACTCATCACTGTTCATTTTACATTCTTCAAGTAGATGCATGTTTACAGGACAGTGTATCTTGTGCATTTATAATTAAATCTGGCAATATCTTTTTCAAAACCCTCAAATCCAAGATAATCGGCAGCCAGCCACGTTACCAGTAAGATATCCAGTCTGTTAATTTTGAAATGACCAATGTTGTACTCGAATATAAATATTTATACTTTAATTATTGAATAGCCCCTGTATATCGCTGACAAGGTATGCTGTTGTCGCGATATAAGATGTTCTTTTGGTTGCCAAAGCGCTAATTTTACGCATAATTGTACCTCTAAATTGATCATTCCTGACTTTAAATTCCAAAAGCCACGCGAGAAGCAGTTTAAGACGTCTTTACAAGTCCAAATATATGATAAATTGCAACAAATAATCCATTCTCACTCCTTGCGTAAAAATATGACCAGTCAGCGTTTTTAGCTGCAGCTACTGTTTACTTCCGCTTCCGGGGGCACCACTGTTCTATGGTGTTCCGGTTTGGATTATCCCAGGGCTTCTGAGAGCAATAAGCGCAGAAGCCCTGGGTACGAGGTTGCTGAGAAGGACAAGTTCCTGACGCTGAGGACATGGTTCCTGAGGCTGAGGACAAGGTTCCTGACGCTGAGGACAAGGTTCCTGACTGTGAGCACAAGGTTCTTGACGGCGAGGACAAGGTTCCTGACGCTGAGGACAAGGTTCCTGACGCTGAGGACAAGGTTCCTGACGCTGAGGACAAGGTTCCTGACGCTGAGGACAAGGTTCCTGACGCTGAGGACATGGTTCCTGAGGCTGAGGACAAGGTTCCTGAGACTGAGGACAAGGTTCCTGGCGCTGAGAACAAGGTTCCTGACTGTGAGGACAAGGTTCCTGACGGTGAGGACAAGGTTCCTGACGCTAAGGACAAGGTTCCTGACGCTGAGGACAAGGTTCCTGACTGTGAGCACAAGGTTCTTGACGCGAGGACAAGGTTCCTGACGCTGAGGACAAGGTTCCTAACGCTGAGGACAAGGTTCGTGACGCTGAGGACATGGTTCCTGAGGCTGAGGACAAGGTTCCTCACGCTGAGGACAAGGTTCCTGGCGCTGAGGACAAATTTCCTGACTGTGAGGACAAGGTTCCTGACTGTGAGGACAAGGTTCCTGACGGTGACGACAAGGTTCCTGACGGTGAGGACAAGGTTCCTGACTGTGAGTACAAGGTTTCTGACGCTGCGGATAAGGTTTATGACGCTGAGGGCAAGGTTCCAGACGGTGAGGACAAGTTTCCTGACGCTAAGGAGAAGGTTCCTGACGCTGAGGACAAGGTTCCTGACGCTGAGGACAAGGTTCCTGACGCTGAGGACAAGGTTCCTGACGGTGAGGACAAGGTTCCTGACGCTGAGGACAAGGTTCCTGACGCTGAGGACAAGGTTCCTGACGCTGAGGACAAGGTTCTTGACGCTGAGGACAAGGTTCCTGACGCTGAGGACAAGGTTCCTGACGCTGAGGACAAGTTTCCTGACGCTGAGGACAAGGTTCCTGACGCTGAGCACGAGGTTCCTGACGCTGAGGACAAGGTTCCTTACGCTGAGGACAAGGTTCCTGACGCTGAGCACAAAGTTCCTTACGCTGAGGACGAGGTTGCTGACGCTGAGGACAAGGTTCCTGACGCTGAGGACAAGGTTCCTGACGCTGAGGACAAGGTTCCTGACGCTGAGGACAAGGTTCCTGACGCTGAGGACAAGGTTCCTGACGCTGAGGACAAGGTTCCTGACGCTGAGGACAAGGTTCCTGACGCTAAAGACAAGTTCCTGACACTGAGGACAAGGTTCCTGATGCTGAGGACAAGGTTCCTGATGCTGAGAACAAGGTTCCTGACGCTGAGCACAAGGTTGCTGACGCTCACGACAAGGTTCCTGATGCTGAGGACAAGTTTCCTGACGCTGAG